AGCCAAGGGCAGCTCAGGGAGTGTCCCCGCTGCCAGAATCTGCTGAGGAGAGTGGAGTGGAGAGGTAAGTGACATGCACTGAGAGAGTGGAGGTAGGCTGTTCTTGAAGCTTTGCCTTCTCATTTTGGGGTCATAACTCAAATAGGCTTAGGTCAAAGAGCCATTTCTAGAGAAGGGTGGTAAGCTGCAGAGAGGACCCATTTAGTTCTGTTGGATCAAATCAATCAGTAGGAGAGGGAGCCTGTCAACCCGACATTGAGTAAGGGACAATTCTCAGTTCCAGGAGGGAACGGAAATATCAAGTGGGGAAACTGAGGCAGGGTGACTGAGTCAGCGCGGCAGCACATAGGTATCCTGTGACTCATAGTCCTGTAGTCCAAGCCTCCCCTTGTCTCCAGAGGAGCTTAGCTCTGTGACTGGGTATCTGAGTCAGTGGGTGGGTTACAACCACAGAGAAAGTTAAACAAACCTAACTCTACTACAGAGTCAATTCCAGCTCACAGCCACCCCTGTAGGACAGTTCTACTCAGTCTTACGGGCTAACTATAGTTGAAACTGTAGACTTGAGAGGCCTACAACAGCACAGCTATTAGGACACTGGACCCTAACTCGGGACTAGGGCCTGCTTTAGATGAGGCAGAATTCATGGAGAAGGTGGCATTGGAGACGCGTGGGAAAGGCAGCCTCTGACCCTTGGAGCTGGCCTGGCACTCCCAGCTGGGCCTGGGTGGTCTCTGTAGAACAGAAACTGTTTCTCTGAGCACCAGCATCAAACAAGGCCACTCTGTGGCCGCGAGGGGGAGACCAAAGACCAATTGTTCTGTAGTCATATCTGAACCATAAGACATGTGCATTGTCCAAGCAAACAAAAACAAACCCAAACCTTCCTGCCCTCATTAATATGAGCATCTTCATTTTCAAGTACAACTCCAGCCTTGATCTAGTTTACTTTGCTCAAAGCTTGGTTAATTAAGAAATCCAGTCCTATCACTTCCTGGTAGTATCCAAACCAGAGCAAAGCCCCACTTCCTTAAACATTCTCAGTTCACCTAACACACGCCCCAATCCGTCCAGTCTTTTTGGGACATCCTCTGAGGGGTCTGGACGGTGCTCACTCACAGTGGATGGGCTCATAGCCATACAGAGACAGCTCAGCAAAAAGACCTGGGGTTTGACTTCAAACAAACAAACAAACAAAAAACCCAGCCATGGAACACTCAGCAGCGTGCAGCTCTATTCTGACACACGAGGAGTCACAGTGAGTTGGATCAACTCATTGGCAATTGTTTCTTTCATATCATTTAACTGAGATGCCTTATGGTTCCCTACTGTGTGCTCACGCCTTACCTGTAACCATCCACCCAACGTGTCCCACTACAGGTATGGGTCAGTCTGGTAAACTAGGGAAACAAATCCACAGAAACTCATATGTATAAGAGAGAGTTTTATATAAAGGATAAGTGTACATTAAGAAAGCATCCCACCAGTGCTGCCCAAGCCCATAAGTCCAATATTAGCCCATATGTCTGACACCAATCTACAAAGTCCTCCTTCATCTCACAAAACACACAGAGACACTGACTGCAGGAAGAAAACCGAATCGGTGAGCATGTAAGCATCTCAGTGCTGGCAGGGGTCTCCACACCGCTGCTCCAGCACCCAGGGCTGCATCGGGGTAGATCCATGTGGCTTCTCCTCATGGACGTCTTACAGGAAGTGAGCTTTGCAAGCTGAAGCAGGGAACTGGCTAAGGCAACTACACCCTGGTCCAACCATCAGAAAGCAAGAGACCTGAGAACTAGAAAGGCGAGACTCACCGAGCCATTTAGTTCTCCATCCTTCAATTACTCCCACATGTGTTTATCAGCCAGGTTGGAACAATAAACCTTAACTATCTCAGGACCCTTCTGGTCTCTGGATGACACATTTGAGCTGAAACGGAATGATGAGAAGAATCCAGCCATGCTAAGAGCTGGGGGAACATCCCCGGCCAAGAGGAGCTCAATTGCAGAGGTCCCGAGATGGCGCGAGCATGGTGTACTCTAGAGTTTGGAGGGAGGCCCTGCGAGCAGAGAGATTTGTTAAAAGGGGCGGAGACAGAGTGACCTATACATAATGTGGATGGGGCCAGGGGATCCCTTGGGGTCTTGCAGATGATGGTCAAGAATATGACTTTTGTACTCAGTCGATGGGAATGTGTTGGTCCTGTGGTAAGAGAGGTACGCTGAGTCGATGTAGCATCAGGACAAACGGCTGAGCGCATGCTTCCCTAGGGCCGTCGTCCCTTCGTCCTTGTTGACAGGGTCCGTTGTATAACAAACACTATCTTGTGTGTTTGCTTCTTTATTTTTGCCTCTATCTGAAAACACAAACTTCATGAGCACAGGGATCTGTCCCTGCGGCAACTCTACAGAGCCTAAGGCAATGCCTAGCCTCCAGATCCTCCAAGTGGAGAGAAGGAGGGAGAACGGAAGGGCCAACTCAAGAGATTTTCTTAAATCAGTCTTGTCCTCACTCTGGTCCTCGCTTTGCAATCTGTAAAACGAGGCAAGAGTTTTCCTAAAGACCCTTCTAGACCTGGTGTTTGAGGATTCTAGGAATGCCACGACTCAGCCCTCCAGGGATGAGGACACCCCTAAATACATCTTCAGTACTCAAATATGACTGTCTCAGAAAAGCAACGTTGCTGACGAGTAGAAACACTTCCCCACTCAGAGAGGAGTGTAAAAATAGAGCCGAACACTCTTAAGGAGAAGAGAAAAAAGGGAAAAGAGAGCGGAGATTGATAATGGGTGAAAGTAATGAGATGGCAATTTTGGTTTCAAAAGAATGTGATTAGCTCCTAATGACTGCCACCATTCCCTGGTCAATCTACTGTAACCAGCCACTAATGTAAAAGTAATGCCCCCCGTCTCGCTCACTTTGAAGATGGAGATGAGCCTCCCTTTCATACTTTTATCCCCTTCATATTTGTCCCCTGTCAAGAGATTATCCCCTAGATGATTTCTGCTCCCCAGAAAGGGAAATGGATGTGTGATCAAAGCCTGCCAATTAGGGGGTCGTCACTTCTCTCTCCTGGGCGCCCCTATTAGGCATGGCCCCCTCTGACTTTGTCAACATCCTCCTGGGCCCCGGCCCAGTGACTTCCACCAACCCTCACCAGGGGGAGGCAGAGGCTCCCAGGGCTGGAGCCCATCTGGGTGGCTTCTCAAGGTGGGACTTTGAGGGTTGATTTAGGATTTGCAAGGAATCTCAGTGTGCTGGAGCGTATCCTGAAGGGCAAGGCCTTGATGTTGAGAGTACCCCAAATTGTGACAACGACTTTAGCCCAAATTTACAGTGTTGCAGGACAGAACGTACATGCCGTCTAAGAGACAGGTACAGTGGGGAGGTGGGGGTGGCGGGGAGCAAACCAGTGAGCCTGTCCAGAAAAGGGGCGGGAAGCTTGTGAGCGAGTGAGCACTCTGGCATGGAGGTATCCCAGTGATGGGTGCTGTGGATCGGCTGACCAGCCCTCTGGAAGATCATGGACGCAGAGATGTCAGCGTTGCTTCCACCTCTGAGATTCCAGGGTGTTTGCCTTCTGTATGCACAGAAGCCATTTCCTCCATGACCCGTTGCAGTCATTCGCTCACTCGTGCATTCGTTCATAAGAAACCATTCATGCCTGATGTGCAAAGCTGGGTTGGGATTCTAGAGATACAAATGTGGATAAGATACGACCGCCCTTTCCTTAGAGCAGTGGTTCTCACACTCTGTGATGCCGAAACCCTTTCATACAGTTCCTCATGTCGTGGTGACCCCCCCCACCACCATAAAATTATTTCCGTTGCTACTTCATCACTGCAAATTTGCTACTGTTATGAATCGGTGACCCTGTGAAAGGGTCATTCGACCCCCAAAGGGGTCACGACCCACAGGTTGAGAACTGCTGCTTTAGAGGAACCAGTGGCTGACAGACATTCAAAGTCTTAGATGTGCCTTAGGGTGCAAAAGAGATCCCACTCTCAAATATAATGTAAGGAGAACATTTAAGTCTTAAAGGGGACAAAGACCATAAGACACAGATAACTTCATCTGGACAAGGGAGACCATGAACACAAGGTCATCACGGTGTCCAAGGACTCAGAGTCAGGGTGCTGATTAAATAAGGCGTGGACCAAAGTGTTGGCAGGGCAATGCATTAGCATTACAGGCAGAACTACAGAAGTGGTAACAGGGCCATGATTGGGACCTGTGTCTGGTGGTAGAGAGAAGAGCTGACAGCAATGGCCCAGGGCCTCTGCCCAGTGCATTCCGGGTGAGACTCACAGGGCATGACTCAGAAGGAGGTGACTCTCAGGACTGTCCAGCCAGGTCTCTCTTAGGGGCTTGCCTGGGTGTGTCCTGGCTGGAGAGTCCTGAGGGTCACCTCATTCTCAAGCCCCTAAGAGAGACCACCTCTCTCTGGACTGGCTGGAATGGGGTGGAGGCGATCTACTTTGCAATACACTCTGCTTGAGGACATTGTTACAGCCTTAGTTAATGATGAGCATAAATTCCATGGAGGCTTAAGCTATGTGGGAACTCGCCAATGGATTTTGAACTGTCACTTTCATCCATAGCTTTCTGAAAACTGGGGTCCTCAGAATTTAAGCTCTAATACAGATGTGAAAAAGTTTGGTGTAATAAGAGGGGAAGTGGGGATGCGGTGGGGGGGGGTGGCGGTCAGCACAAAAGGGGTCTCACCAGAGAAGATGCTTGAACTGGGTTTGAAAGAGAAGTAGGAGTTTGGCAGGCAGATTATGCAGAAGAGAACTTCAGGTGGACAGAACAGCATGTCTACACTCGGAAGGTGAAATATTTGACATGCTCTGTGGCACTACATTTAGTCCTAATACTTGAACAATTGCTACCAGGCCAAGGACTGTAGGCTGGAGGGACATGTGGGGCAAATTCATAAAGGATCTTGTATTAAAGACAATGACCAGGGGAGTAACTGGGTCCTGTTCACATTTTAGAAAGATCTCCCTAATTACAGTGGAGACTGGATTGGAGGGAACAAAGCCAAAGCAAGACAGACCAGTGAGGAGACTCGTGGGAAAGTATTTCTCCAGGTAAATGCTCTGTGTTGCGAGACTCATGGCTGCACATTGGCATCATTTCAAGAACTTTAGGAAACACTGACGCCTCTGTCCCATACCCAGAGTCTGCTGTCACTGCTCTGGGTTGTGGTCATGGCTTTGAGAAATGTCTAATGCTCAGCTTTACAGAAGACCTCAAGCTAATTGTGACCCCAACCCTGGTAGATCACAGATCCTCTTTTCAGAATATCAGCACAAGAACACTCATGCCCTTGGCCTCCCACCGTTATTTTGTTGGGGGGGTGTTGGGAGGGGAGTGGGGGTAGGTAGGGCTGTTTAATGAGCAGATGGCTTTTACCAGCGCTGGCAGTGTGCGTGGAGATCCAGAAGGTCGGCTTATCATCGAGAAGCCCAGGGCCCCTACTCCTTCACTTCTACAGAGGGACAATTCTGAGCATGAAATGTGCCCAAGTCTCAATTGTACATGCAAGTAACCTGTTCATGAATGTACTGTATATTAGTTCCTTCCCCTGATTGTCTCCCCCCCCACCTTTCTATCTATCCTCATTAAGAGTGATGCCCTAATAAACTGCCTCTGTTAAGGATGGTTCTGCAGAAAGTCAAAGCAAGACAATGCATAACCAAGAATCCTGAATATAACCATTTCTCATCACCTCCACTGCCACTACCCTGGTCTCAAGATCCAAGCGTTTCCATCTCTTTCCTGGGTTAATGCACAATTTCTTAACTGACTTGTCTGCTTTCTCGTTGTCAGCCCTCCTAAAGCCTGTAATCCGGGGATGAGTTGGAATGATCTTTGTAAACACACATTGCATCAGATGGCTCACCTGTTTAAAATCATCCAATGGTTTCCCAACCTACTTAGCTTCACACCCAACTCAGTGATTAACATTCCTTATCCAGTCTGACTATTCCCAACTCTCCAGGTGTCTTCCATCGCTACTCTTCCCTTGCTTCTCCTTGGTCTTGGAATATGATCCCATGACTCTTGCCTGATGGCCCTTGAACCTACGGTTTCTTCTTTCTTGGAAAGCGCTTCCTACCTTTCTTGGCACAGCTGCCTTCCCATCGTTCAGATGCTGACTTCAGTGTTACCTTCTTAAAGACGCCCACCCAAATCAAGTGAGCTGACATAAATCTCACCTACTACCACTATACTTTTACCTCACTTAATTTTCTTTTTGCTACTTAAAATTCTTTGTTTCCTTGTTCATTTGCTGCACCTCCTCCCACTCTGCTGGAAGCTCAGTGGGGACTATCTCGCCGCCTGTATCCCCAGTAGCTTGCACAGTATTCCGCACGCCAGGGGCTAGTAACTAAATGTCTGTTGAGTGAACGAATGATGACTCTTCTTCGAGACCAGAGTATGAGCTCATGACACTCAGAAGACATCAATGCCACGGGAGTCAAGGAATGTGTGGATACGGCCAGGGAAGGGCTGGGGCTGGGCTCTCTGGGCCTTTATTTTGAGGGCCCATCCCATCATCTCCCTGTCAGCTCATGTGCATCTGGATAGAGCTCCTATGTCAGGCCACACTAATCACTGCTGTCCTTCCTTTCCAGGCTTTACCGGAGGGACAGACAGCTTCATGGGACACAGCCAAGGAGGATGAAAACCGCAATAAGAACCGATACGGGAACATCATATCCTGTAGGTGCTCTTCTGGGAGGCTCTGGGATGCACCTTTGGGGCCATAGAGGGAGAGAAGTGATGACTCTCTTTATTTTGAATGAGTTATCAGATAATTCTGGATGCCAAGGGGAAATTGTATTTCAGCTTCTCCAGCACACAGCGTGGCTGATGTCAGCCAGAGACGCAGACTGGGAGTTGAGTGCAGGCAGTGTCAATCCATAATATCTCTAAAGGGAGACTCTGGGGTTATGTCTTGCCTGGCGTGGCTTCTTTAAGAACTCCTTAGGGACAGGAGGAAACCCGATTAGGATTTTTGTTCAGAACTCCCAGTTAGGCAGATGGATCAGAACTCCAGCAATTCCTCTGGTTCCAAGGGGAACCTTGGCAGCAACCTGGGGTGGGGCTCAAGGTCTGGCCCGTGAGGTAGGCAGTGATGATGTGTCCACAGGAGAATAGTGCTCCTCCCACATGGTGGAGTTCCATGCAAGGTGGATGCTCAGAAGGAGCCCGAAACTCTGGAATTAGACTGAGTATCGGGGGGATAGCCAGTTCAGGGGCTCACAGGAGTGCAAGGCTACTCTGGTTGCACAAGAGACACCAGGGTTTAGCCCAATGTGATTCATCCAGACCCCACTGCTGGTGAGGCAGGCATTCTGAGGTGAGGGTCTGCTACTCTGGGCCTAGGTAACACAGACATGTGGTAACACTGACCTTGCAGAGCTGCAATGGACATGGGACGACATTCCCAACCCAGAGCTCGATCATCGTTGGCACCCCCTTGAGGGCTTTCTTTTTTTTTTTTTTTTTTGAGGGCTTTCTTGAAGGCACTGGTGCCTCGTGGTTGGGACCTCTAGAGTCAGGTTTCTATTCCTACTGCCAGGCCTTGGACGTGGTACCTGGCCTCTCTAAGCTTCAGTTCCCCCACCTTTCAATGGTGAAGATAATGGAGGTAGGGTTTAGGTGGGTGGGGGGTAAGGGTATAGAAAGCCCTTCATTCAGGGCCTGGCACTGTTACTCATCGTCGTCGTCACAGAGCTAACTTTCTCAGGATCATTACTTACAAGGCAGATCTCCCATTCCACCTCATGTTCACCAGCCTGCCCTCAGTACCCACGTGGAAGCGCGGTCATGCCGGGGACATGCTCAGACGCAGGTGTTAGAAAGCTGGCTTTAAAGCAGCTACATTCGTTGCCCTGCAGTTGGTTCTATGGGTTTTACACGGCTGATTGTGGGGAGGTAGATCACCAAGCCTCTCTTCCACCGCACTTTGGAGGTCTTTTTAGTTAGCAGCTGAGCACTTAGCCATTAGTACCACCAGGGACTCCTTTAGTGTGGTGCCTAGGGGGGTCGGGTGGGTTAAGTTGAGAAAGGCTGGAGGCAGACCGAGCAGTCAGGAGACTAAGGCAGTGGCCGCCACAAAGGATAATGACGTGTAAGGAAGGCATGGGGTGGGGGGTGGGGGTGGGGAAGGCCTGTGTGTTGTTCGCTTCAGGGAGGAAGAGCGGAGAAGAGCCTTTGCACTCGTTCATGTAGACTCCTCCGCATGAGTGGGGGTGTGTGTCTTAAGTATTGGCATAGTCACCCTTCACCGTGGCATAAAACCAGGGAAGACAGTACATCAGTAATTTATAATGTGTCTATTGAAATGTAGGTTCTTTATAAATAAACTTAAGGAAACTTAAACAAACAAACAAAAAGGAAACAGAGAAGACAAAGCTATCTCACACAGGATGTGGAGAGGCTCGTCCGATTGGAACAGCAAACCATAGCAATCACACTCTTTGTCTGACTGAGCGGAGCTAACCAGGACCTTCTAATATCACCAACCGACACAGCAGCCGTCCTTGCTCCCAGCCCTCAGGCTGACTCATTCCAACAAAAAAACAGAAGAAGGAGAAAAGAAAAAGATCCCGAATGACAAATTATTTCTAGCACCGTGTTGTTGTTTTTTAGGCTTTTCTTTCTTTCTTTTTTTTTTAACTGTCTAGACTTTGCCTAAGAAAAAAAACTCAGAGGAAGAAAGAATATGCTCGAGACAGCTTGTTAAGAAAGAAAGAGGCAGAAGTTTTCGCTTAGCTGTTTCCTGTGCTGATTTCCGAGAGCACTGTGAATGATGAAACTAATCAGAGAGCATTTATAACGTGTCCCGTAGAAGATAGGAATGCAGACAGTTGGGTTCCTTAAAGTTATGCATTGCAAAGAAATGTTCAAGGAGGCGGCAGACGTTTATTAAGGTGCTGTCATATGTGGGTCTCTGGGGCTGCAGACCCTGTGCTGGGCCCTGGGAACCTAACTGCCCCTGATACTGTGTAGCATAGCCCCCACTCCAGCCACTGTGCTCCCTCTGCTCCAGCTTCGGTGCATGCTTGTCCCTCAAGCACCTACCTGGTCACTTGGCCGTCCCTGCTCTCAGTTCACAAGGTGTTGCTAGGAGCAATAGAGTCAAATCTGATTCGTGACAACCCGATGCAGCACAGAAGGAAACATTGCCCAGTGCGGTGCCATCTCAGGAGGGTTAGTAGGATTGGATCCAATGTTGGTGCTGTTCTCTAATCATTAGAGTCTAATGGCTGCTCACCTAGAGGGCTTCCATCATGCTATCAGGTAATGCTCCGTTCTGATTGGCCTGTGCTATTTTTTTTTTTCCAAGTAGGTGGCCAGGCCTTTCATCCTAGGCTGTCTTGGTCTAGAAGCTCTTTTGAAACCAGACCATCCTTAGTGGCCTGGTTTGTCTATCAATGAATGGTACCCATTTCAACATCGGTCATAGCAAAATGCAGCCACTTCAGGATTTCAGCAGGACACACTGGTAGGAGGTGGCATTTAGACCTACAGACGGTGTGACCTTGGATGACCACTCTGAGCCTTAGTTTCCTCGCTGTAAAATGCGCATAAGAACCTCTTCTTCTTAGTGATATCGAGGCCCTTGTTTAGGTGCCCCTGGTCTGGTTTGGACTTGAGGCCCTTGGAGGAATCTCTGTTGCTTGTCTCTCCCCATAAGAGCAAAGCCATGGCTCTCTCAGTTTCCCGAAGCTGGTGTATGGTTGGTGCTCAGTCAACATGGGTTGAATCTGAGAACTCCCTCATCTTTCTTTCTTTGCCCCAGACCCCAAATGGTTGCAGGCGTAGGTCATATAGCCTTGCTTTGCAAGTACACTATAGAATACTAGAAAGGATAGATGAGGAAAAGATGCATCTAGGTGACCCTTGAAGTGATGGCATCCCAGTTAGGAAAAATATCCGACCTGAATGGAGACAGCAGAGAGGCAGGACATGGGAAGAAGAACGAGTACCACCTACGCCCTCGGAGAAGGCAAGATTCTGAGCAGCAAGAAGAAATCAAGCAGGAAATGAGAACTCATCCTTGGTAAAGTAGAGGTCCCGAGCCAACGAGGAAGGCCCTCAATGAGATGGATTGACCCAGTGGCCGCCGCTCTGGGCTCACACAAAAAGACAACGGTGACAGTTTTGCTGCCCTTGTCCCTGTGGGCAATGGTCTTGTCAGCTCACCCTTCCTTGACTGCCTTCTCCTCCCCGTATCCCTGTCCCTTGTCCACCAACCCAGTCTCCCGCTGATGTTCCCGCCCTGTCCCAGCACTGGAATTCTTGTTTTATATGGATTTCTGGAGATACTAGAGAAGACAGAGGGACATTCATGCATTTGAATGGGACCACGTGGGCTGATACAAACAACGAAGCAGCGGTCCCTCAAGGGCCCCTGCCAGGAAGACCCTATGGAGGAAGTCTCAGTCTGCACCACCTGGGCTCACTCAGGGGCAACTGATTTGATGTTTTTCAATCAACCTGAATCCCCCTTCTAAAGAAATGGTGGAGCATTCTGCCACAAATCGGGGCTGGAGAGGCGGGGCCTCCGTACTGAAGGGCGACAGTGCCCAGGTGTCCCTTGACTTCTGGATTCAAAAAGCAAAGGCAGCGTGTTTAAAAAAAAAAAGAAAAGAAAAGGCAACGAACACCAACCGTCTCAACCTGGAATTGAAATGAGAAAGGAAAACGAGAAGCAGCCCCGAGAGTCGAGCTATGTTCCTGCCCTTGTATGTGGCCCCCCCAAAGGCGAAGCCTGCTGAGGATTGATAAAGAGAAATATTCTTGGTGGAAGAAGACCCTGGAGTGTGATTAGCATCTTAAGGAACCCTGAGCTCTGAGAGAGGCTGGAGTGGAGGACAAAGGGCCAGGCCAGGGAGAACAGAGAAGATTAAAGGGAAAAAGTACAGGGAGGGGGCTGCCTGCAAATGAAACAATGGAAGGGAAACTGGCTAAATAACTCCTTTCTTCCAAAGGATGCCGTTTAGAATTTAGCCACGGATACAGAGAGCTCCCAGGGAGTGGAAGAGCAGGGAAGTGAAAGGGAAGGAAATGAGCGGGGGGAAAAGAGAAGCAAGGCGCCTTCACTTTCCCTGTAGCTGGAGAGCAGAGATGGTTGACCAGGCCAGTTCCAGAGTGCCAAAGTAGTTGCCAGGGTGGGAAGTTCTGGAGGGCATGTCCTAGATTGGTAGGAGGGAAATTGCCCAGCGGGATTCTTGGTGGTATCAGCCAGCATCTGAGCCGGAAGCTGATGGCACCTTCAAAGAGGGTCCTCTTCAGTGAGTTCAGTGAACATATCTGAAATGTGAGCTTGGCGTGGGGAGCTATGGGGATAGCGAGGCTACTGTTGTTCTGGGCCACTGAGTCCATGCTGAACCACCGTGACCCAGTGTGACAGAGTTGAACTGTCCCATGGGGTTTTCTAGGCTGTAAGCTCTATGGGAGTAGATCACCAAGAGCCACGGTGGGCTCCGGCTGCCAACCTTTCGGTTAATAACCTGAGTGTTTAGCCATCGCAGATGCCTTAAAAGCTTCTAAGCTGCACCCAAGGCACAATTGGTCTCTCTCCACTCTGCACCAGAGGAAGGAGAGCCCGCACGAAGAGGAAGCTATAGAATGTGTGGTTGATCGCCTGCAAGAGCTCCTGCCTCCTTTGAAGAACAGAAGAACTGAGTGGTAGCCAGGGTCTCCCATGA